TTTCTAAGAATCATAAATTTACCAGGACAAAGCCCTAAAATAAATTAATATGAAATGCAGATTCAAAATATTTTTTTTTTATAAAAATTGTAAATTATATAAATATTCCAAAAGAAATTTTCAAAATTTGGACTGGAAATAATACATAGAAGTTTTGATTGCAATTAACTACAGCAAATACGAAATGCAAATATCATTTTATTCGATAACAAAATTAGAAATATGTAATAACGGCCACGACAAAAAATATCAAGAGCTATTTGTGAACTAGTACTTAAAATACCAATCCTTCAGATCAAAATTTTGATTCTCAGAGAACAACAAAATAAAAAATAAAGCAATTTCCCACGTGTTTTTTCTTCTAGTATCATTTTTCAGTAATTTTTGGTTATTATATTTCAGAACATTTTCAAGCTTTCCTTTTCTTTATATTTCTCTTTTTCTAAACAATAAAAATAAAGAAAAAAATTATTACTTCGGACAGTAAAAAATTATTCAGCTGAAAAGTTAATTTTACAATTAGTATGTCTCTAAGTTTTGTACCTTAAAAAATTAAAAATAACGAAAAAAAATAAAGCTACCTAATAAGCTCATTTCAAAAATAATATACTTAAAAACTTTGTTTCACTTACACCTTAGAAATAAAATAAATACCACAAATTTAAAAGTTGTACTCTTTTTTGATATATATATATATATATATATATATATATATATTATGAATAGCAATTATGCTACAAAACTTTTTAGTTAATTCTTTTTTTTCTACATATGTATGGTATTACAAAGTAGCTCAGAGACAGATGCTTACTTCTGACTTGAACAGTTTAATTTTTTTGTTTTGTTTTTCACCTGCTCTAACCCCAGCAATAGCTTAAATCATCAAACATAATGAACAAAAGAATGCCAGTCTACAGTAAAGTTTCAATAACTCATAAACGCGTTGAAATTGAAACTTGAAAGTTACATCAAGTTATCAAAAATTTAACAAATAGTTGTTTTTTTTTTCTTTCACACAAGGACAGATACAAAATATTGTTATAAATTCATAATGGGTGATACTTTCTTCAAAAGTAGTGTCTTTTTTACAAAACAATTCAAATAATATAAACTCTGTTAATATTTAAAAATAAATGCATCTTTTTATTTATTGCCTAAATCAGTAAAAAAATGAAAACTTACAGTTTAAACTTTTAAAAGGTATCAAACTACTTTGTTTCTCTTTCCAGTTTGGGATGAATTGCACACACCATGATAAAAACTAATTTTAACTGTCCTCATTCTAGTAATAGTTACTTTACCATTAAAAACGGTATCGTCTTTTACTGTTTATCGTAAACGAGCTTTGTATGTTCAAACCTAATAAAATCAAAATAGACTCTTTTAATTGGAAAATTTATTCACTAACATTCTTGTTAAGGATGCCATAAATTGTCTTTAAATGAGATGAGTTAATAACAAAGAATAATTCAATGGGATCCTAGAAAGTTGGTATAAAATTTGAAAAAAAAAAGAGTGTGTTTTTAAGTAGCTAGGAAGGATTGATAAAGTTTAGAGATAATGAGAAGCAATTGCCTCATTTAGATATCAAATATATCATATAAATTTTGACTGATATTAGTTTATACTTTAAAATGTATAACTGACATCCTAAGTTTCAGACACACAAGTTATAAATTTCAATGATTTAATAATTGAAGTTTTTACACATTTAATTGACATTGCATTATTAATCAACAATTTGCAGAAATTTCTTTGAGTGCTATTTCTAAAATTCTAATCTAGTTTCTAAAATTTAGTTTTAAAAAGTTTAACTTTTCCCCCAAAAGTTTTTTTAAAGCCCCTTCTGTTTATTTGTCAAATAATTGTCGGAGTAATTTTCGTAATAAATATAGTTAACAGAATCAAAATATAATACATGTTTCTATAGAAAATAGTAAAAAGGACATAGGTTCTACAAACTTTAATATGAAAATTTATTTACAGTGCAGTCTTTCGGCAACAAAATCATTTGGTTCCAGTTCAGCTGAAAAATTCCCAGTGGAGAATTTTTTTTATGTAAGTTAAAGCTTTCTTGCAGTTATTTAAGTATAATATTTAATAGATATTTAGTCCAAAAGTATATAATTATGACTAATTATTAATATGAAAGTACAAGTGTAAAATATGTATATTTTTTATAATATACAAATAGTTAAGACAATCGACGGATTTAAAATGTCCATTTGTTTAACATTGTGATATGTCACATAATAAAGTCAAGTCGTCTTACTGAATTTATGAGCTGAGGCATACATTGATGCCACCCTATGCCCAATATGATAAAAATGAAGCAATTCATATTATAAGTTTATTAAAATCATAATTTAATAGTATAAATTCTCAAAAAAGAATACAATCTATCAATTCAGAGAAAAAATGCATGCTAGAAAGCATTTGTTTGATAATGCTGCATGATCTTACATTGTTTGAAGTTTAAGACATTAAATTTTCCGACAAATTTTACAATTTTGAGAGTGTGCTATACTTGTAGTCAATCACAAATTTCTACCATTGGGAAACCTATTGTAACGGTTCAGTCTTCATAATACACACAGAATATAGGAATAATTTTAATGAGCCTGTTTTCATAGAACTCTATTGTTATATGAGTTATTACTGGAATGAAAAACGTGTTTTCAGAAACAGACATGAGTGAAAGTGAACTAAATTTCAGCTTCCATAAAAAAAATGGCAAGAAACAAAAACATAAACAATTGAAAAATTCCATAAGTGAAGAAAATAGAAAGCCAAAAAAAATATATTAAAGGGAGACAACCACTTTGCTAAAGTGGTAGAGCATTTTGAATGCAAATTAATATTCCGATTTACAAACTTTTTGTTAACGAGAAAATTCCTTGTTGTGGCTTTGCTGTAAGGTGACTACGGTAAGATGAGGTGTTGTACTAAAGAGGCTCAAATACCTACCATTGATATATTATTTTTAACCAGTGTAGTATTGTTTGCTTTATAAAGAAAACATTTATCATATCTGTACATATACATACATACAAACATTTACAAACATACATATATCTATATGCATTACCCATATACCAATTATCATATGAGCTTGTATCATAGGTATCTTGTAGCTTGTATCTTTCCACAAATGTACACTTTAAATGTATACTCCTGTCACTTGTTTTATGAAATATTATTGCGATTATAAAGCAATATTTTTGTACTAGGAGGCTCCGCCCCCTGCTCGCTAACGCTCGCCAACCCCCGAGAATTGCTACGCAATCCTATGTGGTTCACGCCGTGAACCATGGGCTCGCTGCGCTCGCTCGTCAATGAACACAATGTTCTAGCACAAAGACATAGTATATTATCATCAAAGACATAGTATTTTATCATCAAAGACATAGTATTGTACTTATGTAGAAGAATTCTATCAATGTTCTTATTGGCTTTTAAAAAAGTATATTAGATATTTAGATTGTACATGGTGAAAAAATCAAAACATTAGCTAAATAAGAAACATATTAGCAAAATAAATTATCAAATATTGCTTCACTAATATTCTGCATTTTAAAGCGTG